AAACTACAGCCGAGGAAGTAGAAGGAGGTTTTATTATCAACGGGAGCAAGACGTGGATTTCTAACGCGCCTGTCGCGTATGTTTGAATCGTAGCTATGAAGATTGTGTCTGATTTCAAGTTTTCCAGTGATGTCTTCATAATCTGGGCCAACTGCAAGTGGGACCAAAAGATTCGTGGATTCATTCTTGAAAAGGTATCTGGCCGTGATCAATACTTTAGCGTACTAAGTTTTGTCCACCTTAGGGAATGCAAGGGCTCGAGACACAGGCAATCAAGAACAAAGTAGCGTTAAGAGCTTCTCTCACAGGATCAATTTTTATGGACTCCGTTCGCGTGTCCCATGATGCACTGTTACCTAAATCCAAGGGTCTGGGGTCCCCATTCTCTTGCTTGAACTCTGCTCGGTATGTTGTCATGTCTCATCTTTCACAGCCATCGTCATATTCAATAATCAGGTTCGGTATTTCGTGGGGAGTCATGGGCGCCCTGGAGGATTGTGTCAATCGGACGAGGGCGTATGCGCTCGAACGGCATCAGTTCCAGCGTCCCTTGGCTTCATTCCAACTTGTCCAAAAGAAACTAGTTGATGCCCAGACCGAGGTGACTTTGGGACTCCTAGCTAGTCTTCAAGTCGGCCGGCTCAAGGAAGCCGGACAATATTCACCCGAGATGATAAGTATGATCAAGAGGAACAATTGCGGGAAAGCTTTGCAACACTCGAGGATTGTGCTGGATATTTTGGGTGGAAATGCTTGTGCTGACGAGTTAGTCATCTGTATACTTTTCTAGTACTGTGCTGACGGGGAGCAGATATCATGTTGGAAGACATGTTGCCAATCTGCAGGTCACTAATACATATGAAGGTGAGCGGCATACTACCTTCCTCAACATAACCACCCTGACACATTTGTCCTTGTCCTTGAAGGAACTTACGTGCGTATTTTTCATACACCGCTGCTAGTTCAACACCTCATCGTATCTTTTATTTTAGGACATCCACACTTTGATACTGGGGAAAGCGATGACCGGGATACAAGCATTTTTCTAAACATGGACGCAAGGGTAATCGTACGCATGTCAGCAAATGAATCCAGATTTTTTACTCTGTGCTAAGCGCCACGGGATCCAGTTGACTAATAAAACGAAGCCAAGGGGCTACTACACGCTGATCCTTAGGCAGGCAGAATGTGTAGAGTCCTGGCAAGGTTTGTTTCCCAGTAGATGAGAGCCCGCTGTCGTGTCTCTGGTTCTTCCGACATCGGTAGGCTCCAACGTTATGAAATTTTTTTCAACTGTGCTATGTGCATTAATTCTGTAACGAGGTATTCGCGATTTCCGACAGCAAAAGAAGGGTGATGAGGAATGAAGAACCCTACGGTCGTGATGGGATCATGCTTTATAGCCGTCATAAGGTCTGAATCTTTTTGGTGTCTTCTCCCGCATCATGGCTATAGTAATACGGAGGCGACTGCCCACCACTTACCTTCGTGCCTTACTACGGTGCACTCGTGAGGTTTCTTGTTATGTCGAACAGAATACCAAATGACGAAGAGTGCACAACTGGACGGCCTGGACCGTTTGATGGTATCTGGTGCGATTTGTCACAAGACTCTGAGTTTATGATCAACTGATATCCAACGGTCCTTCAGCGTTCGCTTAGCATCTCGGCACTTCAATATCGGGGGTACTGTCTGTTTCAAAATCAGAATAAGCTTTGTTGTGGATAATACCACATGTTCCAGCTTCGTTTCTCGTAGTATGGTCAATCAGTCCAGACTTTGTCATAGCTAAGGGGTTCCGTTTATTCGTGATCAGGCGACTCGCATCAGAAACGTGCTATGGTACTACTGTTTCATGGAATGATGCACAGAAAATGGCGAGGTACGACATATGCTGAGGATATCCCACTGGAATTTACTGGACAACAGGTACTCTCGTCTCAGCGGCCGGCTATTGCTCAGGTGCCAACCGGAGAGTGCCATAAGCAGATACAAGTTATGATCCTAAATGGATCAACACATACTTCAACATACAGTTGACGGCCGGGTCCGACATACGGTGATCTTGCCTCCACCGTAATCCATTGCGAACTACGACTACTTTTTTTTTCCAGTCTTGAAAAACAGTTTTAGCGCTATAAAATGCTTGGATGCTCGCACATCTCATCATCATCACTCCAGCTCCTGTTTTCCAGTTTCCTCAATCCCCAGCTACTAAATCCAACCAAATTCGTCAAACATGTCTTCTTCGCATATTTCTCCAGTCTTAGGTCTGAACAAGGGTCTCCTTGTTCTTGACACGTCTGCAAATGCCGCAGGCGCGCCGCGAAACAGACAACGCGTACTCGTTGTCGGTGGTGGCGTGACTGGTCTAACGTGCGTACATCGTACCGCTAATATTTTCAAGCTCATCCATCCGTTTATAGGACTGCCTGGATCCTGCTCGATGCAGGATACGACGTCACAGTCGTGTCGGAGCAGTGGGCTCCAGCGACACCTCGTATCACGTCTCAGATCGGTAAGTATATCTCGTGTTACACACTACAATCTAGCACTGACTAGAATTGCTCTCCAGCTGGAGCATTGTAGGTGTACACGTGTATCAACTAAGACTCAGAACTAATTTCCGTTACCCAGGTGGGAGTATCCTCCAGCCGTCTGTGGTATGCCTGCATCACTTTAATAAGGGACTTCGCTTAATCATAATCTGCACAGGCCAACACACCGACGCGGGTTCCTTGGCCCTGTCCAAAGGATGGTCACTGACATCATACCGCATTTTCGACCAGCTCAGCAAGTCCCTGCCCGCCATCAAGATGCGCACCGCCAACTTCTTCTTCGGAAAGCCAATCGAGGACCTCCCAGATCAGTTGAGCAAGATGCGCGAGATAGAAGCGTCTTGTGTCCAAGGATTTGTCCGAGACCCCGACTTGATTGCGAAGCACGCAGTGAACCAGAATGCTGGGGTTGTTGATGCCTACTCGCATCTAGCTCCCGTCATCGACACAGATGCATATATGGCGAGTCCCACTGCTCTCATAAATGATTGGTAGTATTGACGGTGACAAATAGGTCTGGCTTCATGACCTGGTTGAAGCAAAGGGCGCAGAGCTAATAACTCGTCGCGTTGAAGGTGACCTCTTAGATTCCGAGGCTAACCTCCTCGAGACCTATGGTGCCGTTGCAATTGTCAATGCTACTGGTCTCAACTCATTCGAAGCTGCGGGAGACAAGTCTTGCTATCCTCTGCGTGGCGGCCTGATCCGACTTGTCAATGACGGGAAACGGTTCCCCAAAGTTACCGAGGCCCTAGCTGTCACTCACGACAACGAATTGAGCGCGGAGCACGAAGACATCGTCTTCATAGTTCCTCGTAACGACAATGTTCGTTCACTCAGCCCCCCCGTTCGGTTTCCTTCGATTTACGCTCCTTTTAGATTCTTATCCTCGGCGGTATCGCTCAACCCCACAAATGGGAGCTCAATTACACAATGGAATCACCTGAGATCCAGCGGATGCGTGAGCGATGCAACAAATTGTACGTGCTCCTTAAAATGCTATGTTTTCGATCCACTTACGACGTTGTTAGTGTTCCGGGACTCGAAAATGCAGAGTTTGACCCAGTAGCACCTGTCGTTCAAGGACTCCGACCGACGCGTGTGGGGAATGTGCGCGTGGGACGGGAGCTACGACCGAGTAGGATGCATGGTGGATCCAGCAGCATTGTTCATTCTTATGGACAAGGAGGCTCTGGTTTCTCGTTCTCTGTTGGGTGTGCGGTGGATGTTCTTCGTCTAATTGACCAAGTGGTACTCGAAAAGAGAACAGGGAACTTCAACGTGGAAATCTATCGTGCTAACTTGTAGATTGATTGATGATATACATAACTCCTCTGTACTAGTACTTTTTTTTATCTTCCATAATCTCATTGTTTCCCCAGCTTCAGCTTGTTTTTCCATGCAGCGTGGCTGCATAAAGTTCTCAGTTACGCCACCCCAACACGAGGAGGCTATCTCATTCTTCAGCTTCTGCAGCGCGCTCACTAAAATTCTCTAGTCCATCTTCGTGATACCATATTGGTATGATAATGAGGGCCCGACATCAAGAATGCGTATACTATAACCCTACGAAGATCATAAAACTACTGTGAAGGTATCGCTCTGGTGTGCTAGAGATGGACTAACTTGGAACGGAATTATCTAGCAAGAACCGGATTGGAATAATCCATGTTTTACGCGTTAAGGGGCTTTGTATTCAACCATGATCAAGCGAACGATGTCATTGATGGGAGCGCACGGCGAGATAACCGTATGGCCGTTTTACTGAGAGGCTCACCATAATGGTTGAGGTCGACAACAGTGTGATACCTTCCTCTGTGTCGACCTATATCTTGAAACCCATCGGGGTATTCAAGCCTTGGCTCCTTGGGTACGTATGGAACCTACGATGAGTCGGTCAAGGTTCACACTGAAAAACAATTTAGCGCAGGTACCATTGCACACCGTCAAATGGAACTTGAAGTCCTCGCTGTTCAGTGACAATCATGTGCAAAGCTGCCCAGATAGACTACTTCGATGATATCTGAGAACTTCGTCGAGCTACGAAGAGCAGGTAAGTGAGCCCGTTTTCATGTACGCCTACAGAAAGGTCATCCGAAATGATAAGACCTGTTGTCCTCAGTCTTCATCTCACTTCGCCCAGTCTCTCCCGCTTGATGGGTATAGAGACGATGATGACAGTCGTGTTAGGCATGGAAGGACGTCCAAAGGAGGCTTTTGAGTACACAAGAAGTGAGACTCTACATGCACGAGGTTGGCTTTTGATTATTCCGACAGATCTTCAGTCGGCTTAACAGTGTAGTAGGTGTCCGTAACGCAGGGATCATGTCGGTTGGAGGCAAGAACGACAGGTTAATGATGCTCAGGACAACTTGGATGCATGTAGGTCTACCGTTACGGTTGTCGGACTGACAAATTATAATTGTATCATTAGATTTACATGGCAAAGTGGCCGAGTGGTCTAAGGCGCTGGAATTAGGTTGAGGATTACGCAATCCAAGATCATATAATCCAGTCCTCCGGGGCGTGAGTTCGAACCTCACCTTTGTCAAGCGATTACTTTTTCAGAATTATTGATTTTGTACCACTTTGTAATGTGTTCTAGATTTCAACCTGAGCAGTGAACAGTTCCTTTGGGAACGTGTACATGTTCATAGAAGTAATTTTTCTCTAAAGTTGGGTACAGAAGTTCATACGGTAATTATTTTATCAGTAAATTATAATAAATTATTTTTTACTTACACTATCACGTGAAATATCTGAACTTGAGCAAACGAGTCCCCCTCTTGTTCCTATCCAACCAATCCCTCTAGAACCTCGCATTACAATGCAACTACTACCTCCACCGCCAATCACTACACCCAAAGTTCAGGGTACACAGAAGAAAAGACTAACGCCACATGTAGACACATGAGGTCAAGCAGAATCCAGACTCGTCTCGTGCGTTGAAATAACGTATCAAATTATCCATATGTAGTTGATCTAAGAGGCACACCAAGACCTGTAGCGGGCTGCCGTGCGTCCATATATATTCGCGACTTTGACTCCTATCGATGCTCCACTAAATCACCCTTTAGTCGACTATTCACCCCCACATCGTTTGCAGGTACGTCGACTCAAGTTCTTTGCTATTTAATCGATTGCTTGTCGTTAACTTGGAAGATTGCTAGAGGTTAGATGGGAAAATGCCGATACGCGCCTTCCCTGCCGTGCCTATCGACATCCTCAGACACATATTCGAGTTCGCGTCTGCCTCATCTGTCGCAACTGGATTGAGTTTAACCCTGGTGTCGACTCACGTTCGACACTGGACACTCCCTATTATGTACAAAAACGTTGTTCTATCATCGTCGCGCGGCCGTGACACTTTTCCTTGAAACTATAACCTCCTCCGCGGACCCCCCGTCTTGCGCCCGTAATACCGCTCTGCAGTCGAGTGAAGAACCTCGGAATCTTCGCTCTAGGTCCCCTGCCTTCTATCGAGAAAATCATTTCTATGTGTGACAACGTAGAAAGTCTTGCGTGTGGATTTTCGCTCCATACTTATCTGCTTTCACATCACCATACTTTGCTCTCTCATATTGCTTGTGAGAAGCACTTTCTTGGTCCTTCATGCCGAGATGGCGTACCCTTCCATCTTATTTCTCCCCAAACCACTCGCGTCCACGTGCAGCTATCTCTCGAAGATATCCATTTTATCGCGGAAATTCATAACTACGTTTCCGCCATCACACACCTAGCTGTCAGCATCCCTTTGAACTCCGAAAGATCCGTCGAAATCATCGATTCGGCCATTTCTGTATTACTCGACAGCAGAAATGTTTCTTTGGAAGTCCTTCTTATCCAAGTGATGGGCTCCAAAGGTTCTGAAATTGCGGAAGACATCAACGCCCGAAGCAATGCGAGGATCCAGCTGGCCGGTGACCGGGACGGCTTTCGTTTGCTTGTAATACGTGCACCTGCATCAGTCGTCCAACAGTGGGGGAAATCGGCCATGTCCTACTGTAGATTTATGGGAAAACGCGAAAAGCGAAGCTAATCAGAAGGAGACGAAGCTCTTAGTCGCGACGTGACCTAGGTAACTATTAAATTGCCTTGGCCGTTCTTCATCCACTCAATGTTACCACTGCAGCCAAGCGCTGACAAAAATCTGAAAGCTTTAGGATACAGCGCACACCTTGGGCTCAACAACTGGTAGCAACTGAACATGGCGACGGGTTTTATAGGTCACTCGTGAAGGCGGGAAGTCAAAGACTTCCACATGTACATTTATTTGCAGCACTACACTTCTTCAATCTCTCCAGCTTCCTTTACTTTGATCCATATACCACCCTTGAGAAAGAGAATCAGTCGCTTGCAAAGAAAGCAGTCCAAACAAAACGACGTACGCCCGCATAGAACGTCAGCGTCAACTTCGGGTTGAATGTTCCACCCATACTTTCATCCAGCTCAAAGCCCTCAAATGCCTGCAGCAGCCGTATGATGATAAACGACATTTCGTTATAGGCAAATTGCTGGCCCAAGCATATCCTAGGACCAGCATTGAAGGGTAAGAAGATCCATGGATTCTTTACTATGCGATGATGTTGCTCGTCAATAAACCGTAGCGGGTCGAATTGGTCGGCTGTAGTAAACCAATAAATTAGACGAGAATGGGACAAGAGAGTGGGAGACTCGCCATTTGGACCCCAGAGATCCTTTCGTCTGTGCATGAGGAAGACTGAGTATGGGATTCTGTAGGCCTGTTAAAGATGAAGGAGGTGAAACGACGCAAGACGGCATTACGGGGTTCCCGCGGGAATGTAGATGTCCTTCTCATCCGGATCATCAGAGGGCAAGGTTGTCTCGTTAATTGATGTACGAATGTTTACCGGACTGGGGTGTTTGCATTAGCTCTTGTATCGAGGCAACTAAAAGACATACACGGCAGGATACAACCTCATGGTCTCTACCCTTCAGTTTTAGTCGGCGTACTCGACAGATTGGATGGATAAGAACGAACCGTTGATCACCGCTCTCAAGTATTTCATTCCTTTGATATCTTCAAACGTAGGGCGCCGTACGGGACCCACCGCATTGATGATCTCCTCGCGGAGACGAGTGCATACGAGAGGGTTGGTACACAGAAAGTAGACCAGCACGGATAGTGTCCACCCCGTAGTGTCGCGTCCAGCGATCAGTATATTTAGGCTACCGTCGTGTCAAACTCGGAAGTCGAACAAAGAGAATTGGGCGTACATTTCATCTTTCAAAACCTTGGGATCTAGAGCAGTGGTAAATTATCGAAATATCGCTGGGACTGGATTATGACTCACCGCTGGTCTCACGGACAAGATGACCTAACAACGTATCTTTTTGGGTGTCATCTATCTCCCTAATTCCGTTCTTCTCCTCATCTCGCTGCTGCACTGCCTCATTTACGATTGGCTCTATGAATTGGTTAACGATGCTCATAGGTGCCGCTGTTTTGTCTTTGAAAGTCTCGAATAATGGCCAGATCCACGCTTCGTCACCGCGTTCATGCAAGATGTTCAGGGCTGACAGAAAGGCGCCTGCGAAAACTTCCGCGTGAGTTTTCTTGTGAGGTTTGCCGAGATGAAGGACTGAAGAAGGTGGGTACGGAAGGACACCAGAGAGGCTCTTGACTGATTTCCCGAAGAGGAATTCCGTTGCAGAGTCGAGGGTGAAGCGTTGGATAAGGTCCTGAGTCCCTGTTAGTTTAAAGTTGAGACAACCCTTGGCTCTTACTTGGAAGTCCACTGCTACACCCATCCGAAGGCGTTCTTTCATTTTGGATACCACTGTCTGTGCATATTCATCAAACAGGTCAAAATGTGAAATGCGGTCGCGGGAGAAAAACGGGCGGGTCATCGTTCGATGAAATCTGATATGCTCTTATTCAGGTTATTCGCGACGAATAGTGATGGAACATACTTCCACATCTTCCCGTCCGAATTGAATACTCCCGTCCCGAGCACAGACGACATGGTGTCTTGGAATACTTCCCCTTCACAATCAAATTAAGACTTGAACGACTGATTAACAAGCCAACTCACCTTTCTCGAAATTGTCAAAATTGGTGGCTAGGATACGCTGAATGTGTTTTGGGTCCGTGGTCACGATGTTCATAAGCCCCAGGACATTTGAGTCGAATGTGGGCCCGTATTCCGTGGCCAGTGCTGCCAAGGTATCGCACGGATGATCATCATTTTGAGATCTTTGCATGATGTCGATATTGAAAGGGAGGCTCCCGCACACCCGAGGAGCGAGACGCGCATTGAGAGAAGAGGCTCGGTGAGCGTAGTATCGATAGAGGAGGATAGGATAAAACGGCAAAAGAAGGGGAAGAAGGAGTAATGCCCATGATCGTAGCCAATATGCGAGTAGAACGATAGGGCCTAGTTTACAGGCAGAGCGAGCGATGAAATGGATTCCGGGTGTTACTATCACCATCGAGAAGGGAATCTGAATTTCAATGCGAGCTCCAAACTTCAGACCACTGATAAAGTACCCGTAGGTGTACGTGATTGGAGGGACATAAATCTGGTCATCTGTTGTGAACAGCACATTTGATTGTCCGCGGGATCACAGATGGCCACGGGCCACGGAAGGTGCGATGATATTGATGACGCACACTTGCTAACGTTGACTTGCGTCCTCGAGACTTTCTTCACTTCACTGCTAGACATCTAGGAAAGCATATCGCACTCACTATACATTGCATTTAAACCGTTGTAGGGGAGCATGTACTATGATATGAACGTCCTGCTCGAGACACGACAACAAGTTGCCGGGTTTGGGTGTCACGTTCAGCGTGTGGGTCTTTTAGTAATGGTCTACGACACACAGAACACACGCCCTTCAAAGGAGTCCATCCACAATTCTGCTCTCGGGTCAACTCCGCCATACCCTGAAATAGATCCCGGTCTAGTAAATGCTTTGTGATGATAAGCATGTCTCCCTCTGACCGATATGACTCCAGCATGCCGGTCAGGATAGTACGAAACTCGGTGTAGTGAGTGCCTCTGGATGACGGCATCTGGATTGCAGAGTTTACTAGTCGTTTGAAGAGTCGGGGAAAGGACAACGCCCGTGTGGAACTTATGGATACGAGGGAAGTAAACGTTTCTCGTATGACAGAGCGAAGTGTGTCCAACGTCTGCCGTTCGATGTCCATGATACGGTCTGCATGAGTATGTGAATCTGGGGTGAAGGAGGATGAAGTTTCCTGTGAACAAGACGCGGAGACAGACTGGATGCAGTTAATCTGACTGCCTAGTAGTTGGAGCCAGATGTCCTCTAAAGATACATCCGGCGAGGGGGATAATGAGCGATCTAAGCATACAGAGATGCCAGATCTTGCTAGATCAACAAGTCCGTCGACTGCCTTCTTGATGGCCGAATCTACCTCGGTGGTCTCGGCGGACTCAAACGCCTCAATGGCTTGAATAGTAAGACGTTTTTCAAAAATATCCGCCTTGGCAAGGGCATCAAGGGGATGTCCCTGTTGATTGAGAGCCCAGACTGCTGCATTGTAAACCTCTTTCTCTT